ACCGTTGGGGATTTTTTTGCCATTTTGTTTTTATTTTTTTCCCAGCCCCATTTTTCAAAAAAAAAAAAAAAAAAAAAAATTCAAAGGTGGTGCAACAAAAGGCAGCTTGAAGTGTTCTCACCCCACCCACCCCAACCTGCCCCCACCTCTACTCACCCTGGAAGAATATTCAAGACGATTGAACTCGCAGGTTAAAAATGTATATGCAAATGCGGGCTACACTGAAGCATGCACAGGTTGTTAATAAATTAACACGTGGCAGAAATAATTCAGTTTAGCGTGATAATTCTTGGGTGCAAGCTGTCAGCTGTCGCATTGTTCCGGATAGAAAGTGACGCTGAGATGGCAACAGGAGCAGTGAACTGTGATGTTTTAGTGTACCTTGCTCTTCACTCTCAGCACTCTGACACAATAACTACCTTTTTTTTTTCTTTCTTTCTTTTCCCTCTGACTTTTTTCCCATTTCGGAAGAACAAAAGGTTTAATTAAGGATGCATTTCAAAGAGACGTTGACACGTAGCACGCGCGCTAACACAGCGGTGTGTTGTGTTCTTCTTTGCAGCCTCACCCGCTGCACTTTACCCACACTGAATATTGCCAACATTTACATTTTTGAAAACCTTCAAATTCCACTGAGTTGCGTTTGGTAACGTTCCTAACATTCATTTATCAGAACATTTCAAATTACCTTACAAATACATCTAGAAATGGACTTTAATCTACATTGTATTTGTCCTGTGGAATGCTCTAGTTCAGTGGTTCTCAAACTGTGGTATGCGTACCACCAAAATTCATATTTTCACATTTACATTTTCAATTGAATAAATCTGAAACATATCATGAACAATTAATCCAACATTTCAACATATACATCTTTATAAACATTTATCAACATCTCTCCTGTGATGGAAGCTAACAGTGAAGGCCTACGCTGCTAATATTCTAATGTTGGTCATCATGGTGGTACTCAGAGAGGTCAGTGTTTTCTCAGGTGGTACAGAGGATGAAAAAGTTGGAGAACCACTGCTCTAGTTTAATGCTAATTATTTACCAAGGTAAAGAGATTTTTAATAAGATAGAAATCTGGACTGCAGGTGGGCTGGTCTGCGTTTACCATGTGAGATTTCTGGAATATTCCTTGTATCTGGCCTGGTAGAGTCCACCTACAAAATCTTGGAGTATCTGGAAAATGATATCTCGATGGCTACAAACTGGTATCGGAATAAGTTACGAATACTTCAGTCAAATATTTGTGATGATAATGTACAACTACTAGTAGTTTTTAAAATGTGTTGCCTTTTGATTCGAAATAGTCTTCTGTTATTGACAAGCCAGTGTTTCTGTGCCCGGTGTTGTCACCCCTGTTTGGGTTGGATGTGGCCCACGGTTGGTCCTACCTACTGTATACAAACAAATACCAGTACCTGATGGTATGGAGGTTCTCCATACCATCAGGTACTGGTATTTGCCCTTTGATTTATGTACATTTTGAATTTCTTTTTTTTATCATCTTTTGTAGGTCAAAGGTAAAATTTCCCCCCAAAAAACGACCTTGAATGTTGACTTGATTTCCTCGTCTTTGTGTCCACAGGTAAGATCTCCGGTTCACTAAACCTTTGATGATATTCAGCACAAACATCAACGAAAGATCTCAGGTTTGGATCCTAAAACAAGACCATATAAAAAAACCTCAACTACAGAGTTTTTAATGATTGTTTTTAATTTCCCACCGTAGAAAGTGTGAACCTAAAACCTCGCCTTTCTGCTGCGGC